CTTTGGTACGACTCAGGTACACATTTCGCGGGTCCGTACTGTGCCGCACAATCTGGGACACCAGATGCTAGGACGTTCAGGCCTAGCCTGCCCTTGGGCTCAGTCTGATCGCCCCCCGTAAGGAGCGCACAACAGAACGGGTCTCGGCCTGAGTTGAGCTATTCGGCTTCGCGGTCGGAACGAGTTATCCAGCCAGCTAAGTGATAGGCATGCGTTCAATCTTGTCAGAAGCACCAACAACGGTATGGTCCTTAATTGACACAGATGGGGATAGATCCACACCCAAGACCTCCATGTCTTGTTGCTTCCCTATCGACATCCCGCTCGGTCTCCATTTACATTACCCATGGTTCTTTTCCACGATAGCAAATATAGTCAACTGTGCTCCGATATCCACCTATATCTCGCAGGTGACAGGAAATCACCCGACTTCTACCGGTCTAAGCCTGGCTAAGCATATATTCGATCCTGGACCTATACTGGTTAAAGGTGTAATAGCTAGACAACGAATTTATATGCATCAAGTGGTTCCATTCAACTCTTATAACCTAATGCATCAATCATAAGTACTTAAGTAATCATTTGTAAAATACTGGGAGACTTAGAATGCTCCGGGGCTTGCCTCGCAGAAAGGAAGTAGGGCGATGATCAGGACACTCCGGAAGCTCTTCAGGATTGTGCTCCTCGCCTTCAGGAGCTGTGACTTGAGGATTCTCCTGCTGGTCCCCTTCCTCTACTTCGTCGAATTCCAGCAACGTTATTTCTTCCTCCAATCCTAGATGCATGAATATGGCATAAGATATTGCGAATGCATACATGCGTACAAGTATAAAATGATGACACAGGATGAATGCATTCGTATAAGTATTCTTAACAGCATGGTGTTAACAAATGCATCATATTTTACCGAGTAGGTGCATATCTCTCTTAATTACTTAATCAAACACATTTACAATTCATTCACTACACACAAAACAGCAGCTGCTTGGTTTACTCATAACTGAAGTTCTACTTATCCAAATGCTGTGATATTAGACTTTCTAGAAAGCTTATAAAATTATCTACAACTCTTGTTTAATCACCAAAAGCTAATTCACACTTTATCTTAACCAAAACAGACAATCAATCCAGCGCTGTCCAAAAATCCCCGAGAACAAGCAAATTCGGAAAGGCTAACTTTAAATAGCTGTAACTCCTAAACCGTTTGACCTATGGTCCTAAAATTTTAGCCCAAGACATATAATGAAGTTATCTACAACTTTGTTATTAACTATTTTTACAGCAAACATCATTTTTATCATGCAACTTATCAAACTCCAGAATTTGTCCGGAAACTATTCTAATTCGCATTACAATGTAACAATACTTCTACTTCATTTAAGTCTTCAAATTTTTACAACCCAAAGTCTACCAATAGTTTAAGCATACCAAATACATCCAAGAAAATATAATGGTGAAGCCCAAACTATTTATTTATATGCCTTTATTATTTTATTTAGATACATAGGTTAAATAATAAACATATACCAAATGTGCATCATAATTTCTCAGAAAATTACAGTGGCTTACTAGTGCTACCAATAGACTACTGTAAAAGTTTTATGCCATTTTACCAAGTAAAACATTCTATACAAAAATGACAAGGCAGCAAGGTTTGAATTAGCATAAATAGAAAACCCTACTAAAAAGTGTCAAGCAACAGATTTCCTATTTTTCTTAGCATCCATATGGTACTACGATTACCCCCAACAAATTTCATGAATTTTGGATTCATAATTAATTTATAAAAAATCATACAAGGATTCACTATTTATAAAAGAAAAATCTATAACTACAAATATACACATGCACTGATCCTCAAATTTTTACGAGAGCTCATATATGACAAGAATAGATTACCACAAAAATTTCATAATTTTTGGAGCACCGGAACTCTAGATATAAAATAAACAAGTTTGCATGCATTCAAAAACACATTTCAAATCTCCATTTAAATCTTTCAAAATTTCTACTGTAAGTGTCAAGATCATATTTTTCTTAAATAGTTCACTTCCTAAGGAACACTACAAATTTTGTTTCACAATTTTTGAAACTATCAAACTGGAGATATAAAAATCACAAAACAGCACCAGATCTGGATTTAAATGAACTAGCTTTTAAGTTGGAGTCGCGGACAAGCGGGACCCACTGGTCAGGGGACCCCACATGTCAATGAAACGGAATAGAGCAATGGCGCGGAATCAACGCGGGAACGGCGGAGCTCGCCGACGGCGGGGTTGCCGGCGGTGACATCATCACTGCATGACCTACGTGACCTAGCGCATCGATTGAGCTACTCGGTGGGACCTCTCATCGGAGCTAGCGACTACGGCGGCGACCATGGCGGTGCGGTGGCGTGGGACGACGGCGCTACGCCGGTGGAGGCCACGGCGAAGCAAGCTCGAGCGCTGACGAGCTTCTACGGACTCAGGCGAACCTAGCGCACAAGCATTTGCAGCAAGAGGTGGACGGTGGCCTTCCAGCCACGGTGACGAACTTGGCGGTGGAGCTCCGGCGAGCTCGTGCGCATTGCTGTGGCTTACCAAGCGTGGTCAGCGAGCATGGGTGGAGGCGGTGAGTCGCGGGGGCTCTGGTGGAGGCGTTGCAGTGGTGGAGAAGCGACGAGGGCGAGCTGGTGTTGGCTATGGCGACGGCGGAGGCTCTCGGTGCTGCGGAAGCTCGGCAGCTGCGCGCAAGGACGAAGGAGGAGTCGAGGAAATGAAAAATGGGGCGCGGGATGGATCGGGCGGGCGCTGGCGGTGTTAAAGTCGCGCTCTGGCTCATCACTGCCGCGCTGGGCAGGGCGCCGGCGACGCGCGGCCAATTCCCGCGCCACGCGGCAGCTCGGCTCTGAGCCGGTCGGCCACTGACGATTGAACGATCGGCCGATTCAGTTAGTTCAGACTCACAATGTGATGCCTGACAGCGTGTTTTGACAACGATTTAACTGCTAAACCGTAGCTCTATTGTGTAAACCATCTAAATGGAACTTGTAGACCGATGTACCATCTTCATTTCTTGTTTAGAACTCACGCCCAAACTCTCAACCAATCTTGAGTTAGGCCATCCCAAAGATCGGCTGTCAGCACGGTTAGGGTACAAGACTTAGCAGAATTGGCTAAGTGTTGAAAACAGGGAATTGATGATTCTTGTGAGCCTAATTCAAGCATGTTAGGAGCTAAACCAGTCTATGACCCAAACATAAAAGTTGTTCCTTGTACCAAATATTACAACTTTGCTTTAGTGACCACCTCCATGCAAGGTCTCTAACACCTAGTTCAAATTTGGTCAAACATGTCACATTTAAATGGATACACTTTAAAGCATGGCTTAATGACCTAATTACCCCTAACCATGAATATCAAAGTTGTTCATAATGGTACTCTAAACATGTTTAGGCTAATTGCAAGGTCATACAATCATTTCATGTATTAGTCACTCATAGAGCTATTTAGTGTAATCACATGAAACATGACTTAAGGGCTTGATCATGGGAAGTGACATTCATGAACTATGTTCCATTTGCTAACCTAAGTGTTGCTAACATGTTTTTGTGACTCATATCAACCAATCACATGTATACACTCATAATCATATGCATATTCATATGAAAGCATGAAATACTAAGAAATGTTGCACATGTTTCAATTGAATGTTTCAAGTGTAAATGCATATATATGAATGCTTGATGATCATGCTCATGCTATGCAAGTCAAGTTATGCAAGGCTAACACCTAGGGTGTTACACCTATGGAGGAGTAGGATAGTCCTTCGAATGCTTTGTCGGACGGAAGGATTATGAGGGTCTTGATCTCTCTTTGCGGGCCACGGGATGTCTTGGTAGGGTCGCGATTCCTTTCTGTCGAGTTCGGACTCTTCGGGAGCATGCAGCTGCGGGATTCGGGGGTCGGAAAAGATCTCTCTTGATTCTGATCCCTCACTAGGATCCGATCGATCAATCAAGTATAATTTTCCCATTTCAGAATCAGATTCATATTCTTCAGCGTACCTGAACACCCATATCCTCAGTGTGCTTTCATCAGCTTCTTTTACGTCGGTAGCATGGAGAAATCTGAATCTTTCCATGTCTTGATCAGCACATCACTGCCAGTGTTAGGACATAACAAAAAAGCACATTGAGTGCCAACCAACATGACTAGAACTGAAAAGAAGCTATGGAACCTGCAGGCAGCCAGTGTTCATGGTGCCAATCCTTCCTGCCCGGTTGACGGTGGCCCTGAACGAACCAGGGAAGGAGGCCTTGCAAGAGGAGCATGGCCTGGCACGTGATGCCGCCATGTTCTAGCACGCGATGCCGTCTAGCGGCCCCGCCGGCACAAGCGCAAGCTGCCATGAGCGCCGCCAGCCTGCCGCGACCGTGTCCCACGAAGCCGCCATCAGCGGGAGCATCTAACCTCTTGCGCTAGCACGCCACGACCACCCGCGGAGGTCCCCGATGACGGCGCCAGCGCCGCCACCGCTGAGACGGCCACGACCACGGTGGGCGCGGGTGCAAAGCACGCCAGCTCCTCTGGCGCGGCAAGGCAGGATGCTGTAGACCCCAGACGGAGCCAGGAAATGACCGCATCTGCGGCAGAGCCAGGATTGGAGGCCGCAGCGGCGTCGGAGAGGGCTCGCGCGGGCGTCCATGTGTTGGCGCGCGAGAGAGGGTAGGGTTAGAAGAGAAGGGCATTTTCGACATCTTCATTGGCTGGGCCCACATGTCAGGGCAGCCAAACGGTGAAAAACTAACAGAAGGCGGACGGAATGACGCGGAGGGTTAAAAAGTTTCCTCTAGTGGCACCTGTGACCGCTCGAACTTTTTTTGACTTATGGGTAATTATAAACTTTTATAACGACACACAGGTAAAAGCCTCTTTACTGTGTTGTGCTCCCATGCTCATTTTGTTCATGGTCGACGGTTGAGTTCGTGCTTTTTTTTTACCGTTGCTTCGCTATGGTTAGCTTTTGCTCGAAACTACTAGCATGATAAAAAAATCAAAATTCAATTTAAAGTCAGGACGAGCTCGTGTTTTATTTCTGAAGTGGATTTCTCTCAAGTCCCAACGAAACGGGCCGTGGGAGTTTAAATTGTTAGCAACCACACTCGATTGGTTCGCTGACAACTCGATTGAGGTAGCAGGTTCCAAGACCTTAGGGAGAGGGAGGTCTGGAATCAGCAAGAAGGGGAATCAGAGCTAGGAAGAAGATACTAGAAGGTTCTAGAAGGGACTGGAGGTAGGGAATTCGGGTACAGAAAGACAGGGGTCGGAGGAGGAAGAAGCACAGGGACTCGAGATGGAGATGTATTGTCTTCTGAATATTCGATGCCTTGTCCTGCTCTTGGCCCTTGGCCTTTGTAGACTCCCATCCAAACGTGACTGGACTGGCCCATGACCCATGTGAAGGCCCATCCGTAGCTGATCCCTAACATTCCCCCCTTCTTAAGCTTCGGCTGGCCCCCAAGCCAATAGAGAAGTTTGGAACCACCGGGATCCCAAGGAAACCACGGAAACCCTGGTTCTGAATAAAGACACTGACCAATCAATTGAGCTCCTAAAATGCAGACAAGTGCAGGGGAAGCACCAGCCTCTTGGAATGCAGTAGCGCAAGTAGTACCAGTGTGATCCTTGATCTGACACAAAAGCAGGTACCTGAACTCACAACCTTCAGTGTGCTGATTGCAGCTATCACAATACCATGTCTCATCATCATTTCTCATCACCTTTATGTAGCATGGCTTACCATTAAGCTCCAATGAACAAGCTTGATAGCATAATATATCAGCTCTCACATGTGAAAGTACAGCCTGGACAGTGATGAAGTCATGCTTATCTGATCGCCCCAGTTTCTCATCCTTGATCTGGGCAATTGTTTTCAGCACATGATTCCCGTGCATGGTTGATATTTCCCGAGGCAGAGAATTGCAGCCAATATTCATTCCTTCAGTTATGTCACACTGATTCAGCCTTGCAACAACTGGAAAATCTGGATTTACTTGCAACTGCGTTGTGCTGATTGTGACCACAGATCTGCCTTTTGAATCACTCATGCGGACACCTTTGAGAGACAGTATAGAGTTTGAACCAGAAGTACACAACTGCAGTTGTTGTCCCACTGCATCACAGAATTTGCCCCAAAAACTGATGCGGAACCCATGAGATAGAGAGTTGGAATCAAACTGATGCCCACCATGCTTCAGCTGGTCAGAGCATGTTGTTGTTGACACAGTAACTATTACTGAGACTGGCACAATTGTCTTCAACTGAGGCAGTAATAAACTGATGCAGAATTTGCAAATCGTGATCACCATGTCAGAGAACCAAGAAGGCAATTTCAGCGTGATGCAAGCCATCAATTTCATATCAAAAGAATGCCCAACAGGCATACTGAAATGGGACGCTATCACAACAATAACAAAGTTGGTCTGTGAGGTGTCCAATGCTTTGGATACTCGCAAAATTCTCTAGATCATTGCCATCACATTTTCCACTAAGTATCCGGCTTTGACCAAGAACATGCCAAACAAGATGTATGATGATGATACTTGTGGTGGAGATGAACATAACAACGCCATACTGAGACCGTCCTGATGGCCGTGCCTAGCAGGCTATGCTTTCAACTGAATAAACACCTCACATGGGAACCTGATGTGTTGTCGAATATGTATAGGCCATGGGGGCTTCCAAAGTCGACCACAGGAACTCCTGACAGAGAACCTCTCAGCCTTGTTGAACGACGACCATGGTGTAGGCCGTAACTCAGCATCACAACTCGTCAACCTCAGGTCGTCAGGTGGTGGCCATGGTTGGTGTTGATTGACTCCCAGTGACACACAGACTCGGCAGCTCGAAGCCATTACAGATGTTGCAAAAGATGTCAGCATGCAATGACAATTCCTCGAACACCTGGCGTGCACCCAAGCTAGCATGCTCCAGAGATATCGAACTCAACATGGCAAGGCTTGGGGTTGAGTCACCTGGAAGTGTAGATGTCGATGATGACGTTGGTGTGGTTTCAGCAGCGTGTGTCGACCAAGCCATCCCGTGGGACCCATTCGCGACCAGGCTGGCGGGAAGCCGCCGAGGACGTCACCGAGGCCACCAGTCGTGCTCCACGGCGCCATTTGGCGCCGACGAAGATGATGTTCATGCCGACGGTGGCGCAGGCGACGAGGGACGGAAACCTGCCTCGTCCCCGCGGCGCACCTGCTGCTGCCTCGGAGCCAGGCACACACGGACCCGTATGCTGAGCGTGTGGGAGATGGCGGTGTGCTCGCAGTAGACCCTGTAGGGCGAGTCGGCGGGGCACGAGCCTTGAGAGCATCTGGTGGGTAGGGCGTGGCACGGGCGGGGTGTGGCGCGCGGCGGGCAGGCTCCGACGAGGACGCGGAGTTGGAGACGATTGGACTGGATGAGATGGAGAGGATTTGGCCCATCGCGAACAACATCTGCGTGCTCCGACTCACGGAGGCCTCGACCTCGGGCTCTTGGTACGGCTCGGCGTTGGCGTTGTAGTGGATCTGGTTGGCGAAGATGGTGGCGTTGGGCGCTGGGTAAGCCGTGGCATCGCCGCCCTTCCCAGACACGAACTTCTCGCTCGTGAGGTTGGAGGAGCGCGCGGTTATGAAGGTACAGGTGGAGAAGGCCACGGAGGCGGGGATGTACTCGGTGTCGACAGGGCCGCACTGGATGAGCTTCTGGTCGGCGGATGGGTTGGCGCCGTCAGTAGTGTCGATGGCGGAAGGAGAGGGTGGAGGAAGCGTCACGGCGCGAAACGGCTCGTCGACAGCGGAAGGTGCGGGCGCGGGCGCGGGCGCTGGCGCGGCAGAGGAGGTGGCGGAAGGCGTGGGCGCGGTCACGACCGAAGCGTTGGCGGGATCGACACGGCAAATCGCCGATCGAACCACGCGTTCTGCTCGTTGAAGAGCTTGCGTATCTCGTCGAGGAGAAGCTGGGTAGAAGGATTCATGGTGCTAGACCGAGAATCAATGGCTCTGGTATCAATTGTTAGCAACCACACTCGATTGGTTCGCTGACAACTCAATTCAGAGGTAGCAGGATACAAGACCTCAGGGAGAGCGAGGCCTAGAATCAGCAAGAAGGGGAATCGGAGCTAGGAAGAAGATACTAGAAGGTTCTAGAAGGGACTGGAGGTAGGGAATCCGGGTACAGAAAGACAGAGGTCGGAGGAGGAAGAAGCACATGGACTCGAGATGGAGATGTATCGTCTTCTAAGCCCCTTTGCAGGCCTTTTGCCGTGGCTCCTCGAGCGGCTTCGGGCGAAGCCCTGCCAAACAGCTTGCGGCAAGAAGCCGGCAAAAGCCTCGCAAAATCCGGTGACTGAGTTCCTCCCCACGCGAGAAGCCAAAAATACTGGCTTAGTCCGGCTCGAGCTCGTCACTTTCCATCCCTGTCCCTGGCTTGCTCTCCTCCCCGACGCCGCGTGCCGACGGCCGCCTCCCTACGCCGCCCCGTCAGCCTTGAGCTCCGTCCCGTCGGCTTCTCCATGCTCCACTCCGTCGGCCTCGAGCTCCGCCCATAGCACGGTGGTGACGAGGGCGAAGAAGGTGAGTGCCACCGCCAATGACATCCCGCCCGCGCCAGATCAGGCGCCAACAAGGCCGTGGAACACCACGCCCGGGCGCCATCATCCTCGGCTCCCTCCTTGCCTCCCCTCGCGCCTCTCAGCATGCGGTGGTGCCCAGCCATGATCCTCTCGCTCAAGCCTCACGCCTATTTCATCATGACGTGAGGAGGAGGGAGAAGGGTAGGGGCGGGGTGGAATGGAAAGAAGCGGCGAGTGACACGCTGAGAGGGATGGAGGGGCGGAGCGGTCTCGCCTCCACCTCGCCGGCCTCGAGCTCCGGCTCCGCCCATTGTCGGCCCTCCCTCCTCGTCCGTCGGTGGCCTACCACGCCCGAGAGAGAGGGAGGGAGAGAGAGATGGATGGAGGGAGTGGGTGCCGGTAAGGAGTGAGGCCGTTCGGATAAGGAGAAGAAGAGAAGGGAGAAGGAAAGAAAAAGAAAAAAAGAAAGAAAAATGAAGAGAAAAAAGAAAAAAAATATAAGGGTATTTTGGACATTTCACATCTTCTTTACACGATGAGAAAACCGTTTTGCTAAACGTTTTCGTACAAAATAAGCCAGAGTCAGAAAAAGCTGCTTTTTCATACGAGCCAGAGCCAGAGCTGTTTTTTCACGAGCCGGAGCCATGCCAAAAAAAAGCCCTAAATATTCAATGCCATGTTCCTGCTCCTGGCCTCCAGCCTTTGGCCTTTGTAGATTCCCATCCAAACGTGACTGGCCCATGACCCATGTGAAGGCCCATCCTAGCTGATCCCTAACACAAATCCCGTCGAATCTGATTCGCAGGCCAGGCGCCACTCAGCCAGTGCCCAATGACTAAATTATCCTCCCGGGTCCCGCAATCCACGCGCGAACTATAGGGTCATTCTCGTCCAAATGGCGATGGCACCGCACAAGCACTGTTTCGTCCTTCTCCTTCCGTCCTTCGTATTCGTTCCCTTCCTATAGCCGCAAGGCGAAATCCTTCCCCCTCTTCGTCTCCGTCGGCGGCGTCGGACCAAACCCTGATCCCGGAGCCCTAACCCTAGCAAGCAGGCGGCGGCGGCGGAGATGGTGTACTACGCTCTGTTGGTGGGCGCGGAGCTGGACGGCCTGACCAACCTGCAGCCCCACCGTGGCTGCGACGACCCCAACTTCCCCTACTACCTCAAGGTCCGTGTCCCCATTCCCTTCTCCTCCCTTGTCTCGATCGGCTCCGGTTCCCCTCATATCGATCGCGAAAGGCGCTGATCGCGGGGTTTGCTTGCTCGCTTCTCTGTGCTGGATCGCAGCTCAAGTGCGAGAACTGCGGGGAGGTCACCGCCAAGTCCACCTACGTCACCCTCAGCGAGCAAGTCGACCTGCCCAAAGGACACGGCACCGCTCACCTCGTCCAGAAGGTACCCTTGCAAACATCACCTTCCTCCTCCGCATACATCTGTGGCCGGATGGATTCGGCTTCCCTCTGCTGTAATGTTGGTGTGCTTGATAAGACTGGCCTGTGAGGAGTGTTTGTTAGTATGGAAGATGGATCAATCAGCTTGTTAGTATGTCTATAAGGTGCTAGCATAGTTTAGATGTTTAGTACGAGACACTTTTATTGCTCTGGTACATGGTGCTCATTTCTTCATACATCCACTTGCCTTTGTTTAGAGTGGATTTGGTGAACGAATTTTCTTTCCATGGGTAAAAGTAAAAGCGGCATTAGATTGGTTGTGGAGAGTTATATTTGTATATAATGGTAAACTCTGTTTAGTGTTCTAAGTATATATGCTTTTAAGTGAGCGAGAAGTGCATTTTTTTTACAGGAAATGCGATTATCCTGTGCTTTTTGTATGATCGATGAACACGCAGTGCTTGTTAGTGTCGCTGATGATAATCGATATCAGCTGACTTTCTATTGGTTGTTTGATGAACTTGCATGGTGACAGCAAATGAGATCACTGATGATATAGTTTGTTGAGATTCCTTTACTCTTCTGGATTTCCTTCTTTTATGTTATTTATTTAGTAGGCTGGGAATGGCTTCTATGAGGAGTACTGATTTCATTATTAAAGTGGGGATTGAATTGTGCCATTTTTGACCTGGAAGCTTAAAAATTTCTTATTTTGTGCCTTGAAAGTATATGTAGGTGTTATGACCGGCATTCCCTATAGGCGCAGGCCCAACAGTGGCTAGGGAGGCTGCCGGTCAGAGGGGGCTAAAAGCCCATAGTTATTCTATTTTATAGTATTTTAGAGATAATTTCCTATTATTTATTAGAGAGAGGCTTATATATATTGTAAACACCCTTTGGGATTAATTAAGCAGAAACAATTATTGTTTCCGGCTTCCTCAGGGAGCCGGGAGAAACCCTAGCCGCCTTCTTTCTCCTTTCTTCCGTGAACAGTACCACGGCACTGTAGCGACGGTACTGTAGCGCCTCCATCCTCTGCCTTCTCGCGCCTGCGCAGCCACGGCGCCTCCGCGCCGTCTTCCTCACTCGCTCAAGCCTCGACTTCCCCCCTCCCACTCATACAACCTGAGATCAGTTCCCGGTAGGACTAGGGTTCCTATCACCTTGGTATCAGAGATTTCCAGGACGATGTCCACAGCTCCGCAATCCTCCGGCGTCCTGCCGACGCCGGTGTCGTCCGTTCCGATGCCGTCCACGTCCTCCGAACTCTCGGAGACCTCAGGCACGGCTCTCACCCTCGAGGGTTTAGCCAGTGTGATGGAACAATTTGCCCGCAACATGGATCAGATCGGCCGTACGGTGGGATGCCCTCAGCCTTAACGTCTCCACCCTGCAGCAATCTGTGGCGGGCCTCCTTCCGCCGCCCCCTCCACCGCCCGCGTCGCAGCCGCCTCCGCCACCGCCTGCGCCGATGACGTCCCTTCCCACGAGTTTCTCCCTCGGCATGCCGCAGGCAGCGAGGGGTTCCCTAACAAGCTGCGGTGGCGACCTCGCCGTCGCCCATCCGTCGTCAGGCAGCGATGAGGGCACGACGCCGCCAGTATACACGTCGGCTACCACCGTGACGCCGTCAGCCGTGTCCACCACCGTCGTGCCTTCGGCCACGGCGTCCGGGACGTTGTACGAGGGCACCGACGGGTCCTCGCTCTCTACGGCGCCCCGCCTCGTCTGCTCGGCTTGGGGCGGCCAGCCCCGACGCGCACGCTCGCCGCGGTTCTACAAACCGGAGTTCGCCACCTACGATGGGGCGTCGATCCGCTCAACCGGCTCAACCGGTGTGAGCAATTTTCCGCATGCCGGCGTACTCTCTTCGCCGGATCGCACGCGTGGTGGCGTCGTACCATCTACGTGGGCGGCATGGACTGCACGACGCCTCGAGCAGGATGAAGGCATGCCGGCACGGGAGCGGTTTTCGCGGTGTGCGGCTCCGTTTGTCCTCCAACGCGGGGCACCCGCTTGGCGGAGCTTGCCGGTACCGCCTTCACTTCTACGGTGGCGGACTACTCCGAACGCTACAACGCCGTCCTTTGTCATGAACCCGAGCTCAACGCCCGCGGAAGGCCCGGTTGTATGTATGGGGGCCTTCCGAGCACATCAAGTGCGATGTGGAGATGCACCACCCGCAAGACACGCAACGGCGATGTACTACGCTGGCTTTCGGCTTTTCGGCGTCGCCGGCGGCGTTCCTCCCCGCCCTCCAAAGATTCTGCGGCGGCAATGGGGGCGCGCCCAGCGCCGGCAGCGCCGACGACGCCGGTTGGCCCGGCCCGTTTCTGCCCTGCCCTAACATTTCCCTGTTCCCGGCCGACAGATGATCCGTCGTCTCTCACGCTACCGAGCAGCAGTGAACGTCGTCGCCGGGGATCATGCTTCAATTGCGACGAGCCGTTTGTGCGCGCGGCCACGTGTGCAAGCGTCTCTTCTTCCTCGAGACGACCGACTACATCGACGACGAGTCGGTCGGCCGACGCATATGCTGCGGACGGCCCTACGACCGCCGTCCGGAGGGCTGGGTGGTGACCACGACATACCTCGCACGCGGCTAACGCCCTTGTGGTGTCCTCCGCGCTATTCTTTGGTATCCGACCACCGAACGCCATGTTGCTTTGCCGGTCGCCGTCAAGCGCGCGCGACTTCTCGCCCTCCTCGACACCGGCTCGACGCACAACCGTCGTCAAGAGGCTGCGATCGCGCCGCCTCGATCTCTCTCCCCGGTGGCGAGCATCTACGTGTCACCGTGGCCAATGGTGATCGCTGGCGTGCGAAGGATCGCACGTGGCGTTCCCATCCGCATCGGCGGCGAGGACCTCGCCATCACTGCGTCGGCCTCGGCTTTGGGTGCCTTCGACTTCATCTCGGCCGACTTCATCCGGACACTGGGGCCCGTCTTTGTGGGATTGCGGCGCTCTCACATTTGTCTTTTACGGCGGAGCGGACGCGCGTCACGTGGCGTGGGTGCTCGCCGAGCGAGGCGCCACCCCCGGCGAGTTGTGGCATGTCATGGTGACCCGCTGACGCCGCTATGCTGGACCGTCTCCTCTGCGAGACGACGACATCTTCGCGAGCCCTGTGGCTCCCTCCGCAGCCGCCCGTCGACCACCGCATCCACACGCTTCCGGGATCTGCGCCGATGGCGATGCGCCCTCATCGCTACCCGCAATTGCGAAGGATGAGCTCGGCGTCGGTGTCTTTGAGATCTTTGGCCTGAGGCATTATTCGCCCACAGACTCGCCGTTCTCCGCCCGGTCCTTGTTCGCAAGGCGGACAACTCTGGAGGTTCTGCGCCGACTACCGCGTCCTTAACGCGAAGACCTCCAAGGACAAGTTTCTATCCGGTGGTGGGCGAGCTCCTAGACGAAGCCGCATGGCGCCGCTTCTTCACCAAAGCTGGATCTGCGGTCCGGCTATCGCGAAGTGCGGATGCACCCCGATGACATCGGCAAAGACGGCCTTCCGTACCCATCGAGGTCACTACGAGTTCCTTGTCATGCCATTTGGGCTCTCCAACGCCCGACAACATTCCGAGCCACGATGAGCGATGTTCTTCGCCTGCACCTTGAAGGTTCGTCTTTGGTGTTTTTCGATGACATCTTGATTTACTCGTCTGGCGGAGCACTGCGCAAGACGTCGGCGTCGTCCTCAACGCTCTCTCGCGCCCATTGATTTCACAAGCGCTCTAAGTGCTCATTTGGGGCGACGCGTCGGTGGCGTACCTCGACCACGTCATCTCCGCCGAGGGGGTCGCCATGGATGCGGAAAAGATTGCGGCGGTCGCTTCCTGGCCTACCCATGATCCGCCCGTGCCTTGCGTGGCTTCCTCGGCCTCGCCGGCTACTACCGGAAGTTCATCGGGGACT